ACACACGTACAATATACCATGTGTGTATATACGTATGTACATATGTATGTATATATTATATTATATTATATTATATTATATTATATTATATTATATTATATTATATTATATTATATTATATTATATTAAATTATATTCTTTATATTGTATTATATTTTATTATATTATATTATATTATATTATATTATACAAGATTATACTACATTATACTACATTATACTATATTATACTATATTATACTATATTGTACTATATTATACCGTATTATACTATATTATACTGTACTATATTACACTATATATACTATACCATGTTATGCTATATTATACGTGCTATGTCATACTATACTGTATTGCTTTATTTAATCAGATTATGTTATGAAATGATTATGCTGCTATATACATTCATACCTATCCGCTGATATTTTTGGCTTCTTTAGTTGTTTACCTATTTATCTACTTGTCTAGGGGATATCATACCGTGGCGGGGGCTCACGATGGCAACCGGCCACCCACCCACACGGGCTGGGGGGACGGTGGGGCTTGCAAAGGTGTGTCTGTATGCCTGTATGTCCGTATGCCTGCAGCTTATGTATGCACGTATGTATGTACATAGACCCAGTGATTGGACAATTCTCAATCTGCCCTAGGCTCACACGCGCAATCACGCACACAATGAGGGACCAAAACAGGCTGCAGACTGAGCAAGGCACGAAATAGAGCATACAGGACCGGAGTGGAACAGCCAGACTATGCTGCTGGAGGCTAGAGGGGCCGAAGAGCCTTGTCTGTAGTTATTGCCGTCTTCTTGAGATTTGCGCGCCCATGGGTGGTGATGTTTCAGCTCCTGCAACTGAACTTGTAGAGCTCACGAAGAAGAGCCACAATTGGTTCAGTAGCTGTCTACGCCTGCGGCCTGTCCTCGAAGAGCGGCATCTGGATCAGCGCAAAAGGCACTTCACCTCGGCAAGCAAGCCCGGACACATGTTCTGGATTGAGCCAGACCGACATTTGAAGCAGTTCCAGTGCGAGCTTGGATACGCATGGCTGTGGCTCCAAACCCTGCAAAGAAACCACGCAAACCTTCCGCATGCACCTCAGGTGTTTGATGGGCAAAACACGGGCACCTGGGGACTTCACTTCGGGTTGCCGGCGGCCGACGACTCAGCTTCTGGCACTGGTGACAGTCTGCGAGAAACTCAAGGAAACACCACTGGGGCCCAATGCTTGCATTCGTTGTTTGAGCACTTCCTTATGCGACACGCTACGGCTAAACACCGGATCATGCTGAGAATAAACTCACAGTCATCGGCTGCCAGCACAGACCCCGTAGTCGGTAGAGTCATCCAATATCAAGCGAGGCTCACACGGGACTCGCACAATGCATGCACTCACATCGGCCACCGATGCAGCAACTGCATCACGAGCTATCGCAAGGGTATTGTCGTGAACTGCTGCCTCAGATCAAGCATAGAGACGGGCATATCGCAAATTATGCTGCGTGTCACGTGATGGTGCTAAATGATGTGCAACAGTCGTGCTGGAATCCGCCGCTCCACGAAGTGCCGTGCAGATTCGTAAATCAAGAAGAATAACCTTGCGACTGCAGATCCTACACGCACGCAGCAAGAACAAAGAGAGTCGCAAGACCCGGAACGAGAATTTGGGATGTTCGATGCGAGACACAGAAAACAGGACGAACCACGGCCAGGATCTTGGAAGACTGTGACAAGCTGTGGTTTTCTCCACTTCACTTCGTGCTCAATGACTCCGACGGGGTCAAACGACTACGAATTGAACGATGCCACTGCTGCCCAATCTATCTTGAGCATTCTTGAGCCGTGCCACGCACTGCCAGGCAGTGACACCAGGAGCACTGCACTCAGCCTGAGCACTGAGGCGATGGCTGTCGGCTTTCTCATCATTCGCCACTAGTAACTAGTATTTGGTTCAGAACCTTTTCCCAACAGCCACGGTGCATCTGTCGCACACCACTGGATCAGGCTCGCTCCAGAATGAGTTGCAAAACAAGCTGCCCACTCCACAGGTTGCGGTAGCCACCCGAAGCCCAGAACCTTAAATTCAAATACTTGCACTGACATACCAGCACTGGCTTCGTGAAGGGGCACCTGGGCACTGTAAAGCAACAGCCAAGACACCCGTCAGTAGACTGCATTCGTGTTTTGAGAGTGTCCAGCGGATGCAAAGGCACATCAACTGCGACACCTGCCAACCTTGGGTTCGACTTGCCAAGGATGTAGCCATTCAACTCTCCATGCAGGAGCACAACTAACCCTGAAACATCCTGAAATTCTGACACGTGCGCAGCAAGCATCGCGAGCCCAAGCATGCCGTGCATTCTCAGGCAGGCACAGCCCTGATGAAAAGGACACCATCGCTGGCGGTTCCAGACCCAGCTGCCGATGGCCAGGTGCTGACACTGGCCTCTGTGAACTCAGTACTGCTCGGAGAGCAGTTTTACATTGATACAAGCAAACGGGCATGAGACAGAGCAGAGTAGCTCAGCTTCTGCCGTTGGTGGCTGAAGCATGCCTGGGGCCTGCGAAAATTGAGTCAGTTGATTGAAATGTCACCAACACCTGCCCGAATGGAACCTAGACGCACGTCTCCGTTAAACGAGCCTGCGTCGGGCTCACGTGCGGCTGCTTGGAGCCGTCCTCCTCCGTAGAAACCAAGCTCTTCCTCGGCAAGCAGACTCCGGACTTGGATGCTTCCGACTCCACAAGGCGCCGCAGAGAGCCTACATGTAGAAGAGTCCAAGAAGGCCGGGCGTCTTGGCGAGTTCAAAACTCCCAAGAAAGATGAATCCTCCAAGCCCCATCCATGCTGCCCTGCAGGTACAGCCGGCAAAGAAGCCTCTAAATCCACGCTCACTGTAGACCAGCATGGCCTCCTGGCACAGGACATGTGAGTCAAAGAGCCCACGGATCCGGAATCCTTTTCATGTCGAGGCCAAATCGAAACCCGAAAACCAGTTGTTCACTCCTCCTGCACCAGATGTGTGGCTTTTTTCTTCGCAACGCCAGTGCACTGGTCCTCCCGTAAGTTCAAGCGTGTGCGCAGCACCTCGGGTCTGCCCCCAACCTAAATGCTTGATGCATGCTCTCTTGCTTGATGCCATGGCCAATACCTACGAAACTTCGCTTGGTGTACTAAGCTCGAGGCATCCAAAGGCGTCGAAAGAAAAGCAGATACCACTCCAGCTACCTGAACACAGGCCGAACAGAAGGAAGGTGCCGATCACACCAAGACTTTCTGTCAGACCGAGGTGCCGTCCCGCAAGACGCTGCCTGAAACAGGAATGCGTTGGATAAACTTATCGAAACTTATTAACGCCCGGGAAAACCCGGCTGATTCCGCAGAAACGAAAACCACTGCGAAGATGCAAGGTAAGAATGAAGAATGCTGCCTGCCAGGTCGGCAATGCATCCTTCGAGATGCCATGAAGATTAGCAGACGCCAGCTTCAAGTACTCCTCGGCCGTAGAGAGTCGGCAACCACTTCAACACACAACAACGACTGCATCTGCACTGCTCTTACACATTGATTCGAGCCGGAACTCGTACATTGGAAACTGCAAGCTGCTGTGGGTGACGTCTCGCATCAGCGAGGCCTCACATGATTCATAACTGTTGCGCTAGTGACCAGCGCAGCCCTTGCACATTGCCCCGTAGAGTTGTGCCTGAAGCGATGCCACGAAAATTGACGTTTGGGTGCTGCGCACACCCTGGAAAACTGAACTCAGTGTTTGTCCACCGCCAGCTTGTTGACGCTGTTTCACCTCACCATCTATACACAACTGCTAAGCACACGCATTCTGCGTTTGTGTTCTTTGCATGACTTCTTTGATGACTTGTGCACACGCACGAACCGTCGACATGCATGTGAACAACTATGATCCAGATGACGCCTTGATTCCAATTGTTTGCAGAAGCGGCACAAGATCCACTGGCACACGCCATACCCCCGCTGCCAATTCTCCGAGGATCGAAGCAACAAGGCCAATGCCGCAATACGCCAAGACCTCTTTGCAATGCGTGAGAAACACAAGCAGTCGCAAACTATAGCAGATAGCACAAGTAAGACCTGAGGAAGCTGCAGAATTGCTCCTGTCCTTGATTCGACGGAGAGACAACTTGTCACAGCACATGCAAACATCTCTCTTCGGCTGAGGCTCGTATGGCATCAAGCAATTTTTTGTCGTCCTGATTGCAAACATGCATCTTTCTTTGAAGTGGCTTTCTGGTCAGCACAACACATGGCCGGCAAATCGAAGCTGTTGTTCAAGTTGTTCATTCAGTGGGCGTTCACTTGCATTCCCAGCGGCTCATATGTGGAAAAAAATATTGCGGATGCTGGAGCCGCGGCACCAATGGCCACAAAGACCTGAAAGTCTCGAACATGCAGTAACATGAGAACATGCATGTATGCCGTGATCTCACGGGTTCAGAACCCGACTCCGCGGTAAATGCTTCGGAAACCACCGGATGCCTGAGCTGGTAGCTGTGCATGTGATGTTGCCCATAGGGTCACTGCTTGCAGGCATTAGTGGTTTGCGAATCGCATTCGAGTTCGGCTTGCGCATGCGTCCAATCACGTCTACCGTACGAGCCGGCCGCCCCGTGCCGCCGCCGTCCCGCGGCAGCTTCGACCCGCCGCGATCTCGCGCGATGCTTTGGCCTCCTCGCAGTCGCCGCACCGCGTGCGTTCGCCGCCTCCCTGCTTGAGTTGCCCCCCGTGCCGACCTTGGCGACGGGCCGGAGCGCAGCGTTGCATGAGCTCCTCGCAAAGGCGCACTGTCTGTTTCCCTTACCGGCTAACTGTGCTGGAGTCCGCAGTAAAGGTAGCGCGTAGGATGCACTGGGACCTCCTGTGCCTCCGCGGTCGTTTACAGGCGCGTTGGAGAAAAAAAACTTATAGTCGCCCGCCAGAAGAGAGGAACCTGCGGACTGCTTGCGTGGCTTGCTCGAGCCTGCGATGAACGGGCACTTTTAAGATGCATTTTTCTTCCATGAAGTTCCAGACAGAGACACGCGGCGAATCGAGGTCGTTCGCAGCGGCCTGCTTTCGTGGCATGGTGTACAGCTCGCCGCCGATGCCACGATTGCGTTCCTTTTTCACGCAGGAGGGCCTGGCGACCCAACGTTGCCGACTCGTCGTGTTCGGCATGGAAACAGGAATCCCCTGGAGTGTAGGAGCCAACAAAATGTTTCCACCTGTCCGTGCCGGCGCATGCTCGCCAGACTATACGAGATCATGGCACCCTCGCCGCATCCCTCCTGGACCTCCCAGCTGCAGTTTTCTGCGCCGGGACCGCTTCATCCGACTTCGGTAAGAAAGCGCGCGCCGAGGCTCCGGGAATCAGAGGCGTGCCCTGATGTGAACCCTTCGGGTAAGTGGAGCGCTGTGTGCTCAACCTCGGCGGGAGGCACTATTTTGACTGCAAGAAATGCTGTTTAGGTAACTATAAGGTAAGCTGGGGACCTGAGGCAGGAAGCGTGGTTGTGCCGCGCAACTGGACTGCCTCGGTGCCGAACCTGCTGCCAGTCTCGAGGCCAAGGACGACAAGGCGGCATCTCCGGGCATGGCACACTACAGGAGTGTTGTGACGCTTGCGCCGCGCTGCAGCGCTGACCACGCAGCCTGGCTGGGTGTCAGCGCGGGGGTGGGCCTCGCCCCGCCATCATCACGAGCGAGCTGCGACCCGCGCCACAACGACAAGCCGTCGGCGACGACCTCGATGCGCCGCTCGTCCGCAACTGGCACGTCCAGGTTCATGTCGGCCAACCGGACGTTGCGGGGGACCCTATAGCGCCAGCATCGCGGAATACACGCGCGACAGCATGTTGAAAGGCAGCGCACCGAGGGTGTCAAGTTGCCGGTGACAACGCGCATCTGCGCGGCGCAAGCGGCATGCGCAGATGCCGCAGCGGGAGAACGCGGAACTGGGCGCCAGGGATGGTGACCACATGGTGCGTGGGCGGGACGTTGATGGCTCGGGCAGCGAAGGGCCCTGCTTGCGAGAGCAGCAGCACACGGGACGCAAGGGAGAGTTCAGAAAGGTGCCGTCTCGAACGCGCGCTCATCGCATGCTCGGGCGTAGGGCCCGGAGTCCTCGTCGGGGGCGACGTGAGCTGAGCGGGGGCGGGCCAGCACCTGCGTATCCCAGTCCGGGGCATAGTATAGCTTGTCGCAGGCGTGTTTGCGCGGCGACTGTGGCGGCCGGCAGCGGCGTCGCCGCGTAACGCTTGGAGGAGCCTGGTGCGTGGATGACAGGCAACGTGTCCTGCCAGGCACTCATGCACGGAGCAGAGCCCAAGCTCTCAAAACCGCTGAGCAAGCTGGGCGGCGCGCAAGCTCGTCGGTGGGAAGGGCGTTTCTTCTTGTACGGGCAGCATTCCAAATGCGGGTTTTGCCCTCGACGGCGAATCCGCGCCAGGTTCCAAAGCGCTGCGGCGAGCAGGTTGTACAGGGCGCGAACGCGCTCGAGGAAGGCGAAAACAGCTTTTCCAGCGAGGAGTTAATTGGCCCCGCAGGTCGTTGAGGGCCTCGTGTTCGGCTAATGCGTAAAGGGCGGGCATTTATAGCGAGTCCCCTGGCTCTCGCCTTGCTATCAAACCACGTGTAAGTACTGGGACTAGCGTCAAGCTGCCGGGCGAAGGGCGACGGAAAGGACTGTGGCTCGGGGGCTCGCCTCGGTGGCTCGCCTGGCGAGAAAATCGGGATCGGATTGCGTGATTGCGCACTGGTATGGTTCTGTTTGTTTGAGTCAAGATTTGCCATGCCGGAATCTGGAAGCTTTGCGCCGCCAGGTTGGCGGCAGCGTGTGGTGCAGCAGCCGTAGCAGCAACAGAAGCCGTGCAGAGATCCTCGCTGGCATACTTGCCGTGTCCTTAAGGTGTGGGCTGTTGAATTTTTTTTTCCGTCAGCAGCTGGGTCCAGCACCTGGTCCTAGAAGAACACCCGGTTCAGCGCAGTGGCAAGCGGCTCGGCCCGTCCGGGTCGGCTAGATCGAGCACCTCGTCCAGGACCGGCGCATCAGTATGTGCCGGTCCCGGCATGGCTCGGGCGCGCCCCAGCGCCGTGTGGCCGACAGCTTGCTGGACGGCCACGGAAAGCACGCTCCACCAGCGGCGGGCCTGTTGAATTTCGGTCGGATTACATCCTGCTCACGCAGCGAGCACAAGAATTGTTTCGAGTAATTCGGTTGGTGCTGCTTGGTGTAACAAGGATTTTTGGGGATGTGTTGAGGGGTGGATTGCCGGCAGGCGTGAAGCGATCAACATGCGTAAGGCGCCCGCTCATAAGAATTGGAGAGCACTTCACGACCATAATCCCATGGTAAATGTTGAAACCAAACAGGTCAGCATGGTGTGTGCAATCTCCCAAACGGCAACTTGCAAAATCAAGTCTTGAATTTGTTGGTCAGTCGGCTGAGCAACGTTTTGCCTGGCCCTGCCTGTACATGTGCAAGTGGACCATTTCAGTTTCCAACGCTGGGATTGCTTGGAACCTTCCGGTGATGGCAGGGCATGTGCTTTTGTGCTTGTGTCGGCTTCGTGGTTTGCACGCTTGTCCTTGCCTCACGACTTTGTGCAGTCTGTTCACACTTGGGCCGCCAGCCTCAAATAATGGGGTTGCACTACACGGCCGACAACATTGCATCTTCATTGGTCATGCTTTTCGTTGCATGTCCTGCTGCACAAGCTGGTTGCGAACGATGTTTGTGAGATTGAAACCATTGGTTGCTTCAGCCGGTGGACGTGCCTTGCACAACGGGCCATTGCTTGGGATGTACAGTTTCGCTGCTCGGCACGGTCTTTGGCTGTAGTTGGGCGCACACCTAACGTAGCAGGCATCACCCCGCGGCCTTCCATGCCGGGCATGGTTGCGGCTCTGTGCCCAGCTCAATAGCACCCGGCGAAGCTTTGCGTAAGTTAGAGTTGAAGTAGTCGAAACAGCCACCACTTCAACAGCGAGAGGCTCGTTGTACATTAAACCTTTTCAAAGCTGTCTTCTTGAGTATTGAAGCGGCTTTGCACACCACTCGTGAGCAGAGCTCGGACATGCTTCATAGCGCCGGAAAACAAAATTTTTCCCCTGCGCAAGGACTGCGACCCACGGGCCGAGGATCGTGCAGCACTTTCGCGCCGGCATGGCTCCAGCAATGTACTCCGCTCCGACGAGTGAAGCAGCAAACGTACTTCTCAGGGCGGGGTGGTTATAAGTGATTGCAGGGCTTAGCATGGATAAGTATTTGTTGCAACCATGGTTATTATCTTGGATAAGTTGTTGTTAGCATGGTTATAAGCAGGCTATGCTGCAGCAGTGCAGATGCCTTGCTTAG